GAGGTTCGAAAACCTCTGTCCACAGCTAGGGTATCGTACACTGGTCGTACGGAAGCTGCGAAAGCTTCCTCCAGATCGGATAAGATGAGCACGGATAATAAAGCTCTGGACACGTATGCCACGTTGCCTAGAAGGAACAGGAATAAGATGAGTATTGGCAAGGTCGGTGAGAAGGTGGACAAAAGCGTCAGAAGCAGATCTGGAAGTAGAGACGCGAGTTTAAATAGACAGGTTGAAAAGAAGAGTAACGCCAAAGAGAATTCGACACACAAAAGTCTGCCACCCTATCCGAGGCACAAGATTGTGCACGAGAAGACGCGTATTTATCATGAAACAAGCGTGCAAACTGGTCTGACCGGTCATGACATCGAGAATGCTTTGTCTGGAGTGCCAAGTGTTGTCACCGGGCCGGAAGTGGTCGAGAGGTTACACGAGGGGTGTCAAACGGAGGGCACGTGGGAGGATATGCAAGCGATGCAGAGTGACTTGAAACGGTTAAACGAAGAGACGATGCAACAAAAAGAGGAGAACGAGAAGCTGAAGGCTGAAATTGTCGAGGTGAACCGTCTCCTTAAAGAGGAACAGGCGGATCACGCGTTCGCGCGGCAAGAATTAGATAGAAATGCACAGCGAGTATTGGCGATGCTTGGAACTCCACAATCGGAGCATGCAGGTGGTTATTGAAGCATTTGATTTAATATTTTCCCTTTTTGCTTTGATTGTTTGTTCACTTTTTTTAAAGTGAATAATTTTGGATTGATTTTAGAAGGGAGTGACAGCTTTTTGGAGTTGGAGTGTCATTTGCAATCGTCTGGACAAGTTGTAGCAAATCAACAGTTAGAGATAGCTGATTTACAATCTTTGTGCCGTATGTTGAGTAGAGTAAGTTGTATTATATTTTTTATTTTTGTATTCTCTTTAAATTTTATATTTGTTAGTTGTATTGTAATATATATTGTTAGTTACATATATTATAATCGTTTGTAAAGGATTTGGAGAAAAGTTTGGCTGCTCAGAAAGCGTTGCTACAACAACAACAAGAATTGGAGGCAGAATCGGCTGAGATGCAAGATTTTCTACAAGAAGAAAAAGCCACTTTAGCGGATGCTTTAAAAGAGGCTGAAACAGAGGTATTTCTTATTTATTAATAAATGGAAAGATAATAATGATCAACAAATTTTTTCTAATGCACAGCTTGCAAAAAAAGAAGAACTACTAACGAAACGCGAATTAGAATTAGAAAGACAAACCGAAGAATGTAAGCATTTAGTACGAATTAGCGAACAACGAAGGTAAATATTAAAAAAAAAAAAAAAAAAAAAAAAAATTAATAATCTTGAAAATTTTCTTTAAATATAATATTTGTATTTTTATTCATATTGATTTTTTATTTATTCAGACAAGAAAATTTATCTATGAGCATGAAATTAAATGCAGTCGAACGACGAAGCAGGGAACTTTTACTCACGCAAGGAGCTGCCGTTTCCGGAGCTGCGGTTGCGCTTTCCGGTCTTGGAACTAGGCTAGAAGGATTAGTAGACCAATTGATAACATCGTATAGTATCTCAGTAAAAGATCTTGAAGTAATATAATATTCCATTATTTTTTATCGTATATTTTTAAATTGATCGTTTAATGATATTTAAATATCGTTTTCATTTGTAGGATGTGATATATCACAATGAAGCATATAGCAGAAGCAACAGTAGTGTCGAATCGAGTCCAGTTAGCTCTAAGCATAGCCTGAAAGAGTGTACACCCAGTCCGAAGAGTGGATCTTTCGTTTCCGCAGTGATTGGAGCAATCCGGAATGCGGCAACACATCCTTTTGCAACGAAAAACACTGATAAAAAATCTTCTTTAGAATCAGCTAAACAAATATATAAAGGTATATATATATATATATATTGTACTATTTATCAATGAATAGAGAAAAGTCATTTGATTAATAAGAGAAAATCTTCTTTCTATTATAAATACATTTCTTTCTATTATCAATTCCATTATCATTTAGAATTAAGTATGGAATCATCGTCTGATTTGCTCGATTTTGAAACCGAGCCATGCCTGATGATGGAAAGTGTGTTAGAGGATGTTCCCTTACCCGATACGTACTCGCATAATATGGTGTCGAGTAGTGATTCACTTCGCAGAGCTTTAAGCTTTCCGGAAACCGTAGACGAAGGTAATCTCAAAAAGACGCGTACCAATGAGGAGTGTTCAAGTCTTACGAATCTCACCCAAGCAATTTTACATCGTCGTAAGGTACAAAATATAAAAATATTTCCAATATTTTTATCAAATAAAAATACAATCATCGAAAAGAAAATCATTATAATTTGCATAATTTTCTACAGGTTGAAAATGAGGAAGATGATGATTGCGATTCTATCAGCGAATCTGATACCGGTACGAATGATGGTCCGTTAGCTTCGGATTATTGTCCGGCTGTTAGTCTTGTTGATCAAGTTATTGATGTAGATAATCTTGTTACAAAATTACTAAAAGTATTGCGAATAATACAGCTCGATAATGATACATGCATACAGGAGCTGAAAGAAGAGAAGTAATTTTATATCTTCTTGTTTTACAGCAAATCACAATATAAAGCAATGTACAATACATGTAGTGATTTGCAGGTCTGAGTTAGAAACGAAATTGGAAGTGACTGTAACGGAGTTGGAAGAATTGCGTAAAATTGTGGACAACTTGCATCAATCGGACGAAATTCTGAGCAACAGTTCGGACAGGAGACGTAGCGTGATGGAAAACTGTCGTTTGCTGATCAAAGAGGTAATAGCTGGTGATGTAACCGATACATATCTATGAAATGTTTCTGGTGCCGTTTTAAGACTTGTTTAATCAGCGATTGACTTTTTAAAAAAGATGTCAAATGGAATAATTCCTCTATAGGCGGGTAAGGAGGAATTAAAATTTGACGAGCCCGCAGTTGGTAATAATAGTGATCCTGGAGGAGCTACAAATTGTGAAGATCTCAACGCGAACATAGCCGCTCAACCATCTTCCTAAACACATTTCCTTTTTATTTTTTTATTTTTTTTTTTTTTCTTCTCCTTTCGTTGTTATCATCTTTTATCTTTGACGATGTAAATCATTATTGATTTTATTTGTTTTCATAATCATCATTCGTTTGTTGATGCCAAAATAAGAGCCACGTTGAAAATCGCTCTAATGCGTGTCATCTGAAAGAATCGAGTTGAATTGATGCTCGATAGTATGTATATTCATATTAATTACTGTTTTTTCGACGATCGTGTCAAGATGATTAGATGATATCGTAGATCATAAACTATAGGCATTTTGCGTGTGTCGAAGTCATGTACAGCTTTCTCCGTGCCGTCATATTACGAAAGATATTCATGCGTATTGCTTTAGTATATTTTAACGTTAAAAAGACTTATAATCTGTGTACATAACAATAAATTTCTCCTCATAATTTCAAAATTGGATTACGTAGTCAATAATTCATGATTCGATATTTTAATATATAACTTAGGCAACTTTCACAAAAATCATAATTTAAATATGTTCTTGAATCATTATCATTCATTTTAATAGTTAACTATCTCACATTATACAATATTAAACGCGATTAATCGCGATAAAAAATATATATATAAAGGAATTCCTTGAGAATAATTAATTGCATTGATAAATGAATTTCCTTTTTCATGCCCACCGAATTCCATTTTATCACATTTATATGTTATTAATAACAAATCTTTTTTTAAGAGTATTAATCCACGTATAGAAAGGAATGCGGATAGATTGTAATGTATCTTAAAGCTCCTTTTATTGCAGTTCACTTCCTCGTTTGAATATTGGTAATAAAAGTACGAACAATGTTTGATCTTTAAACGTGAAATAACAACAGGGTACATTAGTTTTATATTACATAGCAAGGATTTGCGGTCATTTAATTAAATATTGGTGAATATGAATCATTCAAATGAAATGAAATGTTATATTATTCATAATTGTTTGATTCATTATTTGTCAATATTTAAATATCCTTGCTATCTTAAACGTAATTACAAACTTATTCGGGAATATCTTTCGTTAAAACATCTTTAATAAAAAAAAAAAAAAAATGAAAATGAACAAATCGATTGATATTTATCCCAATAAAAAATTATTCCCATGAAATGAAAAATGAACTCAAAAAGAGAACATACATCTTATTCCCAGAGCTGCTTTCTATTTTAATGATGAGATATATTTGAAAAACATATTCTTGTACATGCTTCCATAAGTATCCGTCGACTAAGTTCTCGAAAGCATTGTATATACATATATGTATGTAAGTGGATATTGTGCAACTTACAATTTTATTTTAATTCAAATTCAAAAGATTTTTTTATATAGATTTTCTTCCTTTCTTTCCTTTAATACTACAGGTTATTTACTGTATATCGCAATCTGTAAAGTTTGTGTGAAAGTGATTTTTTTCGTATCTTTTTTTTTTTTTTTTTTTTTTTTTAAATGAAATAAATGATTCCACCCAGATGATATATATTCTGAGAATCATAGTCCTAAGCATTTTTTATACAAAATATTGTGATTATATACCAAAAAAGGAACTCATAAATAATGTATTTTAATTTTTAATCAAATAAATTTCGTTTCGATAAAAATTGTATATTATATATTGTATATTTACTTAAGTATACAATTGTTCGTGAAAGGCTCGAGTGTTAATTTTATTCAAAAGATAGTATAAAGGTTACAAAAAGAAACCTTGAACCATTCTGTAACTCGTGCAATATTAAATATAGTAAAATATTTTTCGTGTAAGCTAATTTTAATTTAACATTTTTTTAATTCTTTTTTTTTTTTAAAGTTTGCTAATTAGTTACAAGCAAGATTAAAAATAAATATCATCTTAAAATAGAATTAATAATCATCATTTTTACGAATTTTTAAGAAAATGAAAAATGATGATAGTAGGGATGAGATAAAGGAACACTATATGATTAAACAAAAATGATAATGGAGCAATTAAATTTTACGTGTAAATATTTTGTGTTTCGTATAAAAGTTCGAATTCTTCATTCATGGCGAATACGACGCAACAGAGGAACCAATAAATTCGCCAAGCGTAAGCCAGTCCTGAAATAAAGATATTAAATTTAATAAAAAAAAAGTAATAATAATAGATAAAATAATAAATATATATAAATAATAAATAAAAATAAAAAATAAATAATATAATACATTTATATCTGTTGTATGCAAGAAATCAATAATGATATTATTTAATTTTAAAAAAACATATAATAATTATAATAACTATATATAATTACTAAAGAAAAAAAATAATCCTGAAATAAAATTAGTATTGATATACCAGTTTCAAGTTAAACTTGAAAATACCTTTGTGCTGACTTGGACATTGGTGACAGTTTAAGATTGATTTCCGGTTTACTCGATGGTGGTTTTGAAGAATCAATTGCCGGCAAACTAGGTTTATTATTGTCAGCAACACCTGCTAGAAGGAGTGTCTCAACAGGAGCAATGACGAGCATCACGCCATCCACGTGAACACGATAATTCTCAGATCCGTTTTGTCGCTGATCGTAATAATCGATTGTAGAATTGAAGGGAGTCGATGTTGTCGGATTCGATGATTCCACAATCGATGTTTCGTTCGCAATCGGTAAACACTGCGCAACTCTGTTAGAACAGAACGCGGCGAGTAGCAACACCGTTTTGAAAATTCGCATGTTGATCGATAGCATCGATATCTGGTTTAATAATCGCAAATATCGATCGATATTTTATACGCGTAATATCGTTGAGAAACTCCTTTTCGATGCTGAATTTGGTTGAATTGTTGAATAACACGAAATATCAAGTTTAGATTTCAAATATTTTGTTCCAAATTTGAGGCTGATACCCGATAAACCCGATCGATCGAGAAACAATCGAGAATATGAAAAGGACTTATGGTTAATTTTTGATAAGAAAAAACGATGCCCGTGGCGTGGTAGCGTGAGCAATGAACGTCTTGACGATGCGGAGGATGAGCGAGGTGTGACGACGTCTCCTGCCGACCGGCGATCCCGGTCCCCACCTGGCATGGAAACAGATCGTCAGGCAAGTTCAAGAACCTGTGGGCCCTTGTGTACGTTCTGTTGCATACATAGTCAGGTAGAACATAATCTTGGATAGAATTGATTTTTTTACTTGGATGACATTGATATCTTATTCTGTTTTATTTTTATGATTACATATATTATACATGTATATTTACAATATATTACATGTATCACTTATTCTTTTCATCTTCATTTTGAATGATTTGAATGTTGAATTTTAATCAACATTAAATTAATCAATTAGTATTATATTCTTTATATTATACAAAGATATAGATATCGATAAAAAAGCAAAAATTATATAGTACCAAAGATAATAACTACCAATATATAATATTATATATAAAATTATATTTATTAAATAGAAAGAATATTGAAAATAATTGATAATTTATATATTTATAGAGAGCTTATATATATAAATTTATATATTTTATTTCGTGTAAATTTTTATAGAATTCGTTATTCTTTTTTAGGTTTAAATCTATTCAATTATATTCAATAGGAAATATGAAATTTTATTCAAGACAAGAAAGTTTGATTGGTGAGAAAAAAAATCATTAATAGCCGATTCGCTCTCGAACTTATACATACTCTTTCGTGCACGAAATATACTGAACGTATGTGTCTGTTGTGCACACGAGCATCTACCTATATACATGTGTATATATAAACACATACATACACAAGCCGATTTGTAAAGGGCAATGGCCTCGTATGGCCCCACCGAGTTCATTTCCCCGTTCCTCTGTCTCAGCCGCCGCTTATTACCGTAACCTTGCCCTTGCTCTTACATTTCCGCCATACTCGAACTTCGCGGATTGTCTTCCTGGTTCACCTTGAATGGCGTCTTCTGATAATAAAAGCTTATTGAAATCGTTGATCACGGCTCAAATTCAAATACGATTAAGATAAGTATACAGATAAATTCGATTTTATCTATTCAGACAAAGATAAATTTTTTATTATTCGATGTATCAATACCGTACAAAAAAATTTTATTTTGGGAAAAAATTTGATAAATTATGATAAGGATTGAAAGATAGCATTTCTTGGTTTATATATATATAATTTATTTCTTCTTGAACATGATACAAAATTTATGAATCTAGTATAAATAATATAAATGTAAAAAATATAAAATATACTTTAGAATATATTTAATTCGATTAAAAGATTAATCTGCGTTAAAATTTTAAATATGATTTCTTTTATATATGTATTTTTCTATTTCTTACAATCTTAAAACTATTAACTATTAAACTATTAATAATTCATGTATCTAAGTGCACGACCTTTTTTATCTGTGAATACAGTATATCACAATTATTGTATACATAGGTATCCTTGAATAAAATTTATGTACTTTTTTCTATATAGGATAAATTTCTTTATAATTCTTATCGTTTTGACAGATACCAAATTTATCTCTATATCTTCCAGGTCCACAATTCTCAATACCACCTCCCAGTAACACTAGCTCTTGACGCTTATTGTCCAATTCATTCCTCTCTTCAGATATCGAAGGTATATCCTCCTCTTCCTCCTTAGATAATTGTTTTTTTAACGATATCCCTGGTTTAGTTGCTTTTGATATCTCTTCTTTAACCGGTAGATCATCAGAACGATCAAAATTTTCCACTTGTAAATTTCTAGCGTTTGCAGATCTTTTGTTTTCTTTCATTGAACTATCAATAATCAGATGTAGTTCTGTATCATTCGAAATTTGTTTAGTCTTTTTTATTGCCTTTTTACTATCAATAAGTATTTCTGAATTAGTTGTCTCTTGCAAAATCGTTTCAGAATTTTTAGTATTTTTTAACAATTCAATTTTTTCGCTATTTTTAGCATCAGGCAATTCAGGATGTTTACCTTTATCCCCTTCCTTTTCTATATGAACAATCTCGACGTGGTAAGGCCCCCTCCCGCCATCTGCATTTTCTGTCTCATAAACCAACGTTTCAGATGGTTTCTCGCTGATCTGTTGCTTACTGTACTGCGGAATTAGCTCGTTCATCTCCAGCATTTGTGATGCCAGATTCCTGAAGAAGAAACCATTACCAGAAGTAGCAACGACTATCAAAAAATTGTCAAATTTGGCATCCACATTGAAATCACCATTCTGTCGCTGATCATAAGTTGCTGGAGCCGCATTTACTTGCAAAAATGATTTAGGTAGAATGCCTGTAAAATTATAAAGTTAATAATAACAATAAAATATAAGTATAAAATAATAAATGAATAAATATAATTTATTGTGTCAATATAATTTAGATATGCTTTTTTAGATATATGCATTTATATAATTTATACATGTCCATTTATATATGTGCTTTTTACATGTTACAAATATAAAAAGAAGAATGTAAATTTCTAAAAAAGACATATAAATAATTTATAATAACTTGTTTAAGGAAATAAGAGAAGCAGTAGAAGTTACATTAAAATAAAAATTAAATATTGAAAAGAAATCTATATTTATTTTTTAAGGAAGTCCAACAATAGTAGCTTTACCTGATAGCAAGATAACGTATGTAACATACAGTAGCATTTTGTCGAAATCCTCTGGAAGCGATCGTTCAAATCGGCCGAGCTGAACGAAGTCTGATCCTCGACTGTGCGAGAGATTCGTCCGCTTCCTTGGCAGCTTTGGATCGCTAGCAACTTGTATATAGATCGAGGGAGTATCACTGTTGGGAGAGGGTAAGAAACGCCTTGTATGTCTGGTAATCGACTTAGATGATTAAGTAGCTGCTGCCATCCATTATGACTCTATGACTGTTTATGACATATATATATATACTGCTCGTATGTAATGTCGTCCATGATTTTATCCTTCATAGGTCAAAGAAAAAAATCAAACGGTTCTCACGACAATTTATTATTACTGATTGTATTATGCATGTTTCTCAAACACGATATATTTTAAAATTCTTTTAAATAGATAATTTTAGATTGAATTTTTTTTTATGAATTTCAATGTCATCAAGAATTTTTTTAATTTTTTTACTTTAAAAATAATATTTGAAATTTTAATTCATTTAACTAAGAATAAAAATATTTTTTAAAACATTAAAAAACGATTAAACATTATTACAATAATTTCTTTTCTTTTTATGCGAAGTAAAAAAAATAACAATTTTAATTATTGCAAAAAATTATTTTAAAAATATTTATAATATAATATAATTTAAAAATATTTTAAAATACAAAGAAAACAATTATAGTATAAAAAAATGTTATTCAAGAATGAATCATGTTACATAATTGATCGATATTTTTGTTTTCTCAATCTCGAAACATTGAAGAAAATAGAAGAAGAAAGAATTTCAAGATCGTATCTTTATTTTAGTATGTGTTATCTTTGACTGAAGTCTTTTTTTTTTTTTTTTTTTTTAATTCTTTCAATAGAAATCTTCTTGTTCTTTAAATGATTGAACATACAATCAATAAAAGAAATATTCTTTTTAAAAGAATTTTAGTAGAAAATTTATGGATATTTTATTTGAAATTTAAATAAAATTATTATTATTATTATTATTATTATTAATAAATTAAAATGATTTAAAATGATGACAATTTTATAACATTATAATAATAATATAATATAACATTATAGTATAAAAAAAATACATATAAGTGCTTATTATATTATATACAGTAACTTGATGAATATAAATGCAGGATGAAGCGATGTGAACGACACGAGAATACGTAACTTAACATAAGTCGACGAGGAACATGAGAGAACTTAGTACAATCGCACACTGATATCGAATATTCATGACATAGTTTGGTTTGAGTGCATTTGATTATCCTCTTTTTGCACGAAATTCCTTGTATTGCGTGCTGTGTCATCCAAAAATTTTGGTACTAATCTCAATGCCAATCTATAAGAAAAAAAAATAATTTCCATATCTCAATAAATTCTATTGCAATTACATGCAATTTGAATTTTAATTTGGTAATTTCACTAATTAGTTTGGCTAATTATTCTATCGAATGAGATACACATTTTAATGTTTTTTGTCTGTTTATTACTCACGGAATTAATGACAATCTTCGTTTACTAAGACGACGACAACGACCATTTCCATCTGGTGAATATCCTGATCTACAACGTTTCCTAGATAATATTTTAGATGAATCTCCCATATTATGGGATAATCCCCAATTATTTTGCTCTCTTCGATTTTTTTCTATATCTTCGAATAAATTTTCAATTTTATCATTAACTTTCATCTTTAATATGTTATTCTCATTAGTAGTTGAATTCATTTTATTTGATGAAATACTTAAGGTTTCATTTGCTTTTTCAACATCCACTAAAGACAAAATTTCTGTATTCTCTATATTAGAATTTGTATTTGTTTCATTAGTTGGAAATGTTAAATTTTGTGATGTAATGTTTGAAAAATTGAGTTGTTCTATAATTTCTGAAGTTGATGGTTCGGTAGTAGTTGTAACATTAGGTTTGATCATCGGTTTAATCGTGAAATCGGCATAATCGTAGAAATAATCGTATTCCTGTAATTCAGGATTGCGTTAATTACTTAATTTATTTAAATTTCTATTAATGATATTCTTTGTTAATATAATATAAATTAATAATATAATAATATTAATGATTTACTTTAATTTCTTGTATTCTTTTAATCGGCTAATAGATAATTTTTTTATAATTAATTTATATTTATAATTAGAAAATAATAGATATATTCATATACATTTTAAAAATCAAAATATTATCTGAATATTTTATTTTTTACATTTCTACCTTTTAATTATAAGTAATATAATTATTAATGAATATCTCTTACAATCAGAGAAATATTTTTATTATACCATTAATAAAGATAAAAATTAATAATAATAATAGTTGTCGTTATCGCGTTATCTAGTGATATCAAGGTATATTAATATCTCCACATGTCGCGACGAATTTAGTCATTATTTTACCGTGTAATCATCAAGCATCTCTGAGTCCAATAATGCCAACACTTGTACATCCTTCAAATGAACCTGCACGTTCAGATCACCGGTTTGTCGTTGATCATAAGTCGCCGGTAAGGACAGGCCAGTCACAACATGATAAACGAACACGAAGAGAAAGTCGTAACGCGGATACATGATGAAGTGGACTGATTTGCTTCGATAGGCCACAAAGCTATGGAAAAATGTACGAGGATCGTCGACAGAATTCAGACTGACCAAGGTCCGTCTGAAAAGTCGACGTTATACCGATGCTCTACCTTGATATAGTGGTCAGTACATCAAGAAACCGGTATTCTTTGTCGCTAAACGGTCATGAGAGCCTCGAGCACAGTGGCCGGACATTGGCCTCATCGTGTACCGATATACAGGGAACGCGGGCACGTACGAGAATCGATGTAAAACAATTCTGATTTAAATATTAAAACATTAAATGTTCCTCGAAATTTAACATGGGAACGATACAGACGGATAAAGAATAGTAAAAAGGTAAAGATTGTCTAATAGCGGATGATATGACTCTTTATATCAATCATATAATATTGTTTTTATCAAAATTATTTTCATATGTTGAAAAAAAACAAAAATATGTGAATGATATATTAGTTAAATTATGAACAATATAATTAAATATATCGCAACATAGTTAAACTACAGTTTATTATAATAATTTATTACTAATAATTATATTGTGCGAATATCTCTGACTTCATTCATTATTATGAAATCGCATGGAATAATCGTGACCGATGAATATAAACTTTCTACGAATTAACAATATGGCAACATCGTTAGAATTATAGTAGAAATAAAAATGGATGATTACGCAATTTCGATGTCATTGATGCGTCTTTTTATGTTTTGATTCACGATCGTTTTTTAAATCTTCTGACAACGAATCAACAAATGTCGCGAATATGCTTGCATAGATATCGATATAGAGATCCTGAATGGAATTACGATGACATTAATGAGAGTTTGTTGAAATGTCATGTGTTGTTTTACATGATCAGGGAAGTTCATCGTGTTATTTTCTTAATTCAGTGCTCGATATCGTGTTTGAAAGGAACCCACGCATAATTTTCGCTTACTATAGGAAGAGGTTTGCGTCAGGGTTAAAACATTATTATATACGTTTGAATATTATATTGCATCGCTTATCATGTTTCGTTGTGACGTAAACAATGTTCCAATTTTTTAAAAAGCCTGGTAAATAATTTTTTATTCATTTATGATTGTTTGTTGATATTTCATTTAAGAAAGAAATATTTAATTGCATCGTAGTTAACCTAAATGCAAAATATTTATGTCTCTGTTTTATTTTTTAAATTTTGTGTTGCTATATGTGTGATTACTGAAAATTAAAGCAAGTATATTTTTTTATCATATATTATTTATTAGAGTTAAAAAGCATTTATTGATAATTATAGGACAAAAAGACAGGCCCAGATCTTTACAAACTTCACCCACAAAATCAACAAGCTCTGGGAAATTATTTGGAGATGTATTTAATAGTGGTTCATCAATCCAGACACCAACAGGTGCATTGTACAGTCTTGAGGAGGAACAAGAAGATGAAATTCTTAATGGTAAAACGAAAGAAACATATTCTTTCAACTCTCAGCTTTCTAAGACACTTCCACAGATACTTGCAGACAAAGGTGCTCTAGGTTATTTCATTCAATTTATGGAAACACAGAACTGTATTGCACTTATTAAGTTTTGGTTGGAAGTAGAATGTTTGTGCAGCTCATTTAATGTATTAAAAGCTAAAATGGAAAATATTGAATGTTTAAGTTGTATAAAAAATTCAAATAATATTGCCAATTCGACAGACAACAATAAAAATTTTCAGTGTGATATGACACAGAATAATATAAATAATTTTGAGAGTAAGAATCTACTATTTAATGAACATGTAAATAGTACTGAAATAAATAATACGAAATCAAATTGCAATGATATGCCAAAGACTAGTCAAACAATAAGCAACGTACGACAATCAAATCACGATTGTAGAAGGAAAGATATGACCATCAGACAAGATGCATTAAGAATTCATAAAAGATATATTATTAAGGATAGTTTGGGTACAAACAAAATTCCTGAAGATTTGAAAAAAAAAATGGAAGAAGTTCTTACTTTAGAAAACATTGAGCCTATGTTGCAGTGCCTATCAGCTGTCCAAAAGATTATATATCAAATATTAGAAACTGAGTGAGTATAAGAATTTAGAAATATTTAGAATACTTTAGAAAAAAAATACTTAGAATATTTATTTTTAAAATTTATATTTAATATTTTTTTTTTTTTTTAGATACATTAATGACTTCTTACGAAGTGAATTTCATTGCAAACATCAGATTGATGTTCTTACAAGTGGCAATGTACAATTAGCAGATATATTGTATAATGAAACTGCATTTTTTTATTTTATGGAATTTATGGAACTTGAAAACAAACGTGAATTATTAGACTTCTGGATGTCAGCTATGAGTTATAAACAAAATTTATTAGAAAAAAAGAATGGTATAGATCCAGAGGAGGCACAAACTGATGCTCTAATTATTTATGACAAGTACTTTTTTAAATGATGTTGTTTTTATAAGTTTTTAAATAGATTAATAGTAAATAATATATTTCAATATTATTGACGTTATCGTTGTGTATATCATAGGTATTTTAGTTTACAAGCAACGATGCCCCTTGGTTTTAGTGATAAAATTCGTTTCCAAGTTGAGCAGAATATTTGTCGCGAAGATGGAGAGGGACCACAACCCGATTGTTTTGATAAACCTTGTAAAATTGTATATAATTTTTTGAATAAGGTAAACATAATATCTTAATATGAGATAAAATATTATGAGATATATATTATTAGTATGAAATTGTATTGATAAGATTCAGTGATTTAGATAACAAAAGATTTTTTTCAGTATTATCTACCTACTTTCTTATCATCTCAGTTATATTACAAATATTTATCGGAATTGATTAGTGCTATACAAAGCAGTCCATGTTCAAATTTACATCCTAGATTAAAAAGAGCAGGTTTGTGTTGTGCAAGTAGTAATATCATAAAAATAAAATTGTCATTTAAAATATTTAAAAAAAATTACAGGTTCTGATTGTAGTAGTGAAGTCAGTTCTGTTAGTATTAATATGCAAAATACCCTGCAGGCAGGGAATGATGGAAATAGATTAAATAATAAAAGAAATATTACTAATAGCATGAATATTGATACTAGACAACTTTATGATCCAGATTCTTTATGGAAACGTAATAAATATAGGTAATTACAAAATGAATAATTAAAATTAATAATTTTATTCAATGAACATTTCAAGATATATTTTGTTTATTTTATAGTTTGAGCGTCGGTTATATTGATGATTTAGGAAGATTCGTTACTGAAATAGAACCTGATCCTCAAAGAAAATATGGTGAGTTATTTAAATTTAGTTTCCTGAATATAGAATGTAAATGCAATAATTGTTTAAAACAATTTTAGAATCTCGATTAACACGTGCTGTAAAAAGATTTGTAAATATGGAGCAAGATAAGGTAATTTTCATATTTATTAATGATATATCCAATATTTAATACAATTTTTAATTTTTTTTAAAATTAAAATAAATCAATATAATTAGGCCAAAGAAGAGTTAGCATGGAAGATTGCTGAGATGATCATTCGTGAGATCACTTCTTTGACTCTAGGAGCTTCAAATTTTTCATCTTGATAACAGATACTATATCAATATCAATATCAATTTTTTTTTCTTTTTGCGTAATATACTTTGTATTTTTAAGTGCTTTAAGGTGAATATTTTGTTTAATACTGTACGATTTTTTTAATTTTTTATTATAAATGAACACCGCGAATTCCACTAAAGTGCCAAATTGAATAAAAATAAAAATAAATTATTAAATTTTATAATTGTAAAAAACATAAGTTTATATTTATGAATTTTTATGTATTTATTATATTGTCTTGCGTACTATATGTATTTAATGTTAAATTTATTGCAAAATTAATTATTATTTTCGTACTGTTACGAATAGTTTATTTTCTTTTATAATAGATTTTCTTTAAAAATAATATTTTAAATTTATAATTAAGATTCAATAATTTTAGATTTTATAAAAATTATAAAAAAATTAAAACAAAAAACAAAACAAATAATGTCGATAAATATATAAAATTTTTCCGTTTATTTAAAGCATAATAATGAAGTATGTACATACAAACGGAAACAATAATTTTCAAGTGCTTTAATTGCTTTTAACATTTATGAGATTATAAAAGTATTTGTTTCTATTTGTAAGATACGATTGTATTTTTAAAGAACTATATTAGAATGTACAAAACATATTATTTTGCGTTTAATATAGCATATTACCTTCTTCAATTATTTAACTGCCAAGAATTTTTGCAGTTCGAAATTTTATGCTTCTCTCATTTTTAATTTAGATGTAAAATTAAAAAAAGAAAAGCATTTTGCACGTATCATAATGAAATTATGATTAAGATATAATAGAAATTTTAAAAATCAACGAATGAAATCCAGTTTAGATATTAAAGAAACAATAACGAATCGGATGAACAACGACGAAATTGTAGGTTTTTACGAATTATAACTTATTTTTTAACAATTTTTTTTTCTAACAATAATTATTGTATTGTATTGTGTGGATTTTATTAGATTTAAATTTATTATATTAGACATATTACCTTACTTGACAGTATTTATTTATAACATTTTTAAATGATTATACAAAACATTAGTTTATTATTACATATAATTGAAAAACTTTTATATATGATCAGTCTTATTTAATAGGATTAGTTATCTAATTAGAATTATTGTTGAATATTCAAATATTGTTATATAAAAATTATTTTATTAAAATCGATCTATTTTTAAAAAAAAATATGAAAAATGAAATTGCTAATAATGTATTAAAAAAAAAAAAAAAAAAAAAGATTTAGATAATACGAAAAATGTATGCGATTTAGGATTAATGTTCTTAAAATGTTAGTCGATTGATTAATGGTGCACGTTAGTTCCTTTTTATGTAAAAGCGAAAAAACAATTATTTTAAAAATAGCTTAATTTTGTCTGCGTATGCATTATGATATTTTGGCAATTTATACTCGTATAATAATTTATATTTTTAAAAAATATGAAAATATTACATTTTTACATATTTAATAGATATTCAAAGTTTAATACATTAATATAAACGAACAAATTTTCTGACTAATTACAATATATTTCATATATTTGCATAGATGTTTGGTGCTATACATAAATACAACTCGAAAAACAATCTTGCTAACTTTAATAACTATAAATCTTTAAAAATACAAAAATTCAATCATTTGTTAATAGTGATGTATATAAAATTTTTTTATTAAAACAAGAATTGTTGTATAAATAAAATCTGTTAATAAAAAAATGTAAAATATTTGTTTGAAAATTCTACATGCAATTTTATTTTCTGAGATGTATTTTTTAAAAATATTTTTTGTTAATTATAATAAAAAATATGATCGATAAATTATTGTTTTTTATTTATTGAATTGAATTATATAATAAATTCATATAAAATTTAATAATGTTTAACAATTTTTAATTTACTTATATTAAATTTTAATACAAAAAACTATAATAAAATGTAAAACCGAAATTATATTGAAAAAATGATAATACTTTATCATTAAATGTTCTGCTTATATATATAATAAAAATATAAATCTTTTAACATTTATAACAATCAACAAATTAATTTTTCATAAAGCTTTTTACTATTATATTAATTTCTAGAAAGGCTTATATAAATAAAAAAAAAAAATAATTATTTTGTATATACAGTAATTTTCTATATAAATAATAAATTCTTTTATATTTTCCTGATTAGATAATTTTAATATAAATATAAATGAACGATTGAGCACATTATCTTTTTAAAGTTTAAAAAATTATTAGATATTAAAAATATAATTTTTTTAAAAATGATATAAGGCAGTAGATCATTTTTATTGATATAAAAGATTTTTTGTATCACAGTTCTTAAAATGAGGAAGATCCATTAATACTTGTATGAGGGGGGCATCCAAATTTCGGATCTAATAAAGGCGATGATTCTGATAATATATTTGTATCTCCTTTTGAAATCTGATTTAAATTAAAATTCCCTAATTTCTGACAGCATTCTAGTCGAAATTTCTCTCTTTTACCCCATCTCTTGTAAACAAGAGCATTAAAAAATGCTTGAAGTGGATTTGTAACAGCCTGAAAATAAGATGTAAATTAAATTATATTACATTATTTTTAAAAAGTATACATACCATTATGTACCAAAGAATAATGATGGCTTTGATTGGTAATTGAAACCACAAAGTCCATAATAAAATCCCATTAATTAAATTTGGTAACCAACACACATAATATACAAAATTAGTCAATGCAAATTTAAGTTTAATTGCTTGTACCAATTTTCTTTCTCTTCCTGTTATTTGCGCTAGACTGCAAGTAACAGCAGTTTGAAGATCTCGGGTTGATCCAAAATATAAAAGAGGATTAACTATCATGACCACAGCTAATAGCACATAAGTAGCACAATAATTTGGCAAAATACGTAAAATAGCAGTGGATAATGATGTTAAATTATGACAACTGAAAAAAAAATTTTATAATATTCTAAAAACATAATGATCTATTTATAATCAAATTTAACTAACTTAGCATCTGGTACATATAAAATTGTTAAACCAAATGTAGTCAAAATTGCTGGACATATCCAAGCAAAGATATGGTAACAAATAGGATGTCCAGATCGATCTCCTAATAATAATTTCATGTCAATGGCATAACAAAGTGTCCAAATCCATGTTGCCATGTAAAAATACTGCGTCCATGCCTAAAAAAAACTTTCTATATGAATATAAAAAATATATAATGTGTGAATATAAAATGATTAAAACAATCTAAATTATTAATATAATGAATCATTTAATATAATTATTTTACCGATGAAAGTGCACAAAAAACAACACTTGAAGTATCATCTTCCATTGGCATTATAGATTTAAAATTTACCCATAATGCTGATCTAATAAATACACCTAAACAATATTTAGAATTGAATTAAAGAAAGTTATTTTTTTATTTTTAATCTATGTTAAAACATAGATATAATTACCTAATGATGCTAAGAGATCTGCAATTGCAAGCCATATGATGATTTCTCTTCCTCTACATGCAGAGAAATTTTGCCATCTATGAGGAAGATTAGATGTTTCTCTTGGCAATATCTATAAATAGAACTTCATCAATATTTTATCACATTTTATTAAAATTTTACTTACCTGATATACTGCACCTAAAATACCTATAGAAGAAGAAAGCATACATACAATATTATACACATCTGTATTAAATTCTTGCATTATTACGATTGCCATATCGGTTCTGTTGGAATGATGACAACAGAATGTTTGTATTGTTGGATCAGCCATGTTATATGTATTGAAATTAAATTCTTAAAAATCAACTAAATATATATAGTAAAGAAAAAATAATATTCGATAAGATATTACTTATATTTTACAACTAATTTTATACATTGAGTTTTTAAAATAAGAATTAAACAATCCACTTTTATTTAAAAGTTCTTTTTAAAATATTTTTATAAAGAATCATCAATGAAATTTTGTTCATTTTTATCTTAAAACGAAACCATACGAGGTTTCCGGCATATTTATTTGTACGCCATATCTAACTTTGTTTTAAAGAGAATTTGATCACAGATAAGATATAGAATTTTCTTATTTTTACACATTATATATTTTATTTAAAATTATATTTTTGACAAATAGAAAAATAAATTTATATATAAAAATAAAAAAAAAATATGTACATGACACGAAAATAAAATTATCTTTTTTTAACTTAAAATATAATATCATGTCTTTAAGAAATACTAAAATTTAAAAATATATAAAAATCAAATAGACTTTATCAAGATTTTTAATCAATACGCAAGAAGAAAATAAAGTAAATCAAATATCGAAATCATTTCTTGGGTGCATAAATCTTGTAAAGCAAGTGACAAGGAGAACGCACAAGATGGAAAAAGACAAAGATAAAGATATTGAAATGAGCACCATCTTTAGGATGTTGCAAATGAAACACATAAAGAAAGGATAAAAAACTTAAAAAAAAGAAAAAAAATAGAACTAGAATTGATAGTTAGTACCATCTCTTAAGTATTAAAAACATCTCTAAATATAAAATGACAGAATAGGAATTAATCGCTAGTGCCCTCTTTTGAATATCAAAAATATTTATTTAAATAATTATTTTTAAAAATATCCAAGAGATGGTATTAGCGATTAATTCCGATTCTGTGTATCCTTTTTCAATTATCTTCTTTCCTTGCTTTATGTATTTCATTTGTGACATACACTCTGAAGATGGCGCTGATTTTAATATTTTTATTCTATCTCTATCCTTTTTTCACTATTTTTTCTCTTTGTGTATACTTCGTTTTGGCGCATAATACGCACAAAATATAGGATGTCAATTATACATATATTCATCATTTTTCTTCCAAAATTACAACGTATTTTGGAGATTAAGACGGCGATTAAAATTATATATTTTAATATATAATATGAATGTTCTGACAAGAGGAATGACATGACTTGATGATAGCGCAACAATAGAATTTTAGCAAACAAAAACTTATTTCAGCAATAAATAATGATTTTTAAATATTTATGATAAAATTTTATATTTGGTTTTCAATTAGATTTATTAATCGAATATTAAACACAAAATCATATCTTTAATAAAATTATCTACTTATTTTATCATAAAAATATTACATTCAAGTGCTTTCTTCCTGTTTTTTGTCATGATTCTTCCACTTAAAAGATCTTGCTTCTGGATATTTCTCAGTTAAAAAACTGCAAATATCATCATATTCGGACCTTAATTTAATTATAACTTCATCTTGATTTCTACGGCGTTCTTGTTTACGCAAATAAACTAACCATGAAGGCAATTTCGTATAAAATGGTTTAAGAGATTTTTTTTTTAAAGGAATTCTTCCATTCATTACATATTGTTTGAAATTTAATATTTCATTTGGTAGAATTTCTGTAGAATCACGAACTACTGCAGGTGAAGCAAGAATTGTAGGAAAATAATTATTTTCCTTTCTCATTTCAACTAAATGCAATCCTTTTTCCTTTACCATTTGGTCGTATGTTTTCTAGAATTTACATAATATAAAATAATATTATGTTGCAGAATTTTTATGACATATAATTCATTTCAGGTCAAAAAATTTTAATTTTTGTCACTAATTATAAATTATTAACATACCTGTTGCAATAAACCAATAAAGAAAGCTTTTACAATATAAGCAACATTTTTAGATCCTTCAACTTTAGCATACAAATCTGTAATACCAAGTGCTTCACAACATGTTCTAATAACTCGATGACATTTGAGTCCATAACCTTTAGGCTTTTGTTCTACAAATATTTTTGTACGTCCAAATTGTGTAAAAAAATCATGGAGTACTAAAAAAAAATATATTTTATAATTATTTAAAGTTTTTAAATCAATAATATACATAATATATATAATATATAATATATATAATAAATATATAATAAATATATAATATATAATATATAATATATATAATAAAAAATTATCTACCTGTATGATCATTATATCTTTCGATATATATTAATCTTTGAGCTGCTTTATTCTTAGCTGCATTTATGGTTGATTTAAATTCATTTCCATTTAGCATTATAAAACCAGCTAAGCCTTTCTTATTTCCAGTAATAACAAGTACACGGCAACGTTTTGTACGACCCATGTTACTTGTCATAACGGAAAAATACTTGCTATATAAAATCCAAGATTCAAATCCTTCAAACACATCTGAAATGATACAAATGTAATGTCATATATTGTTATTAACATATATAAATATATATTAAATATATATAAATATATATATTAAATAATTTTTTATAACAAACCATCATTAACAGGATCAGGTGGTCCAATTTTTCTTCCACCTGGCAGACCTCCAGTCCATCCGTGTTGTAAAGGATGAATTTTGTTTCGTTTTGGTTGTAATGTATTTTTTGTTTCTTGTGCATTAAAATAACTTAATTTTTCGTTTTCTGTAAAAGGTCTTTGTTGTACCGTAACATCACCTTGTATAATAGTAGTATTTAATCCTGGAAATATCATAGGTATTTTTCCAAAGCCAATTTTTTGATTTTTGTTTAGATCTTTCATTTTTGCAACATTCCTTCCTCTTCCTCTTCTTTTGCCAGCATTACTGACACTTGTGACAGATTTCCATAATTCAGAAGCTCGTCCTAATGGGCAATATATCAAAGATTATTTAAGAATTTTCTTAAAATTCAATAAATACTTTTTCAAACAAAGAAAACAAAACTTACATACTTTTATTTAAAAAACTGGTATTTCTTATACTGTTTAATAATACAGTTTGTGATAACAATAAATTACCAGAGATAGCTGAAAATGATTTATACTTATAATTTATTTATTGATTATATAATAATATAAAAATTTAATCTAATTTAAATAAAATCAAAAATAAAGAAGAAACAAAGCTATATAAGAGAAAAAATTTTTTTAGGTTATACAAGCAAAACGTATAATCATGAATAATTTATACAGTTTTATGAAAAGTATATTTGGAAAATATTTCGTGGAAACTACCATTATTGGTTACATTGATATTTTTTATATAATTTGTAACTGTTTTACAAACACGAAACAATCCACTTGTCATCATTTTAACCAACCAAATGTACTTATAAAATATAGAAATTTTGAGCGTGATATTTTGTTCAAAAAGAAAACAACAGATGTCACCTAACGCTATAAATCGAAATAATATTTTTTTCATTTAGTAGCAGAAAAAGAATTTTATGATTAAAAAAAACGAATAGTTTTTTTTAAAAATATTATTTATTATTTCTATTTTAAATATTCACAATTAAAAAATTCGAATAATTATTTATATACAGTTTTTGATTTCTCGATCAATCAATCATTATAATAAATCAAAATTTTGAACTAAATATTAGAATTGCAAAAACGAGATACCCTTGCATTCAAAAATCCTAATATTCAATTCATTTAAATATTGAAAACTGATTATTGTTTTACGTTTCGCAAAACGACAAATAAAAACAAATAAACGTAATCGATCGAAAATGACAATAAGTGGAACACGCAGGTAGCGACACATAGCATGGTCGATATCGAACCAGTAGTAATCGTGACACGAATGGGTTACAGTTACGTACCACTGTTCGCGATATGGTTGGTCGGTAAAGTCGTGATAACTGGCCAAAGAAGAGTGAAATGGGTAGGGAGCGGCGAAATTTTTGCAAGGACAAAGCGAAACGTGAAACGCGAAGGAAAGGTGAAACAAAGATAGACGGGTAAATCGAGAAAGAGAAATAGAAAGGGAAGCGAGAAAGGTGGGCTGTCCCGAGGCCGGTGGCCATGAGACGCCGCTAGATTAGGTAGCCGAGGTGGTTTCTGGCAGGGAATCGGGGGATCACCGCGCGATAGGCGGACACGTAACGGAAGAGCCGAAGCTTTTCACCAACGGCGTGGCGGCGACCACCGCGGTGCAACCCCGAACAAGCGTTCAACCATTCGGAAGGTGATCCAATGGAATTGCGAGAGCGCGCCGATTGGCGGATCTCGTCCAATGAGAGGATGGTTAGGGTAGTCGGGTTTGGCTCGGAGGTCGGTTAGGTAGCCCCGCGAACCCCCCTAGAGGCCGGCGAGTGGGAGCCCTTCTCTCACACGCAAAAGGGGACATCTCATCACGACTCTTGGTAGCAGGCACTTCTCCGTAGTGGGCACTCCACTCATCGTGTCGTCGTACGGGTTCTCCGCGAGAGGCTGTGGGGCCCGAGCCCGGACGAACGAACAAACGAACGAACGAACGAACGAACGAACGAGCGAGCGAGCGAGCGAACGAACGAACGAACGAACGAACGAACGAACGAACGAACGAACGAACGAGCGCGACCGGCCGAGCCGCTGGTCGAGTGGGTCTAAGCGGCCGTGAGGACCTCTCCAGGAGTACCCGACAGTCCTCTTCATTCATTCATTCATTCATCCATCCATCCATCCATCCATCCATCCATCCATCTATCCAGCCAGCGAGCGAGCCAGCGAGCGAGCCAGCTAGCAAGCAAGCCAGCAAACCATCCATCCATAGACGCTCTCTCCTCTCCTACGGAGAGAGAGTGTATCCTCGACGAAGGTGGAGGCGAAACGCGTAGAGTGGTACATCTACCATCGTCTCTCTATCGGCAGAGTCCAAGGACTCGAAGACCCCCCGGGTGATTTCAGTCGGCCGCCGGCCGGCTCTGGCCGGCCACTACTTCTCGACCACGTGTGTGTCATCTTTCCGTTCGCCGAATCGTTTCGTATCGTTTCGCAACGAGTCGTGTCGTGTCGTGGCGTGGCTTCTCGGTGCCGTGACGTAATAACGGATCGTGTTGTGTCTACGTGTGTCTCAACCCCGGCCTCCTTCGTCCTACGAAAGACGAGCGGATCATCAGTCGTGTGCAACCGTGAAACCAGCCCTTCCTTCGAAGGAGGGGAGCTTCGTCCGGGGACACTGCTTTTTATTAAGGTAGACGACGGTTCGCGACCTTAATCTCCTCGTAGCCCGTTTTTCCAAAAATTTCAATTCGCGATTTTTCGACCGAGAGTCTTCGAGTTCGACAACCGATATTATCACCCATATTGTTCGACCTGTTGAATAGATAGAACGAGATCGCGAGGATGACGCGCAGGTATCGCCGCTGGACGCGGCCAACGACGCTCGAGTTCCGTGTGCACCGATGCGATGGACGCGTCTCGCAAACCGCATCCAATCTGTTGATCTGTTAGTGAAAACCGTCCGTGAGATGCGCGTTATCAAGTTACCTTGACCATGAAACGATGCAACGCCTTTCAGTGATCGGTGCGTCCGACAGGATTGTTCATCCAGGTGTACGATATCATTTATTCGACACTGATTAATGGAACGATTAAGTGTAACTGTGAATGAATTTAAAAACTGTGCTACGTGATGAGTCTTTGCCCAGTCTTTCCTCCATTAGACGATTACACTTGTTGAACCGTGAACAGCTCACAAGAAAAGAGCATCGAAATTTTTCCATCTTCGCCACTAAAAAAAAAGAAAGAAATAAAAAAGAGGCATGTGCAGTTAAAAAGAGAAAAAAAAACTAAAAGTACAATACATAGAGAATACGGTGTACATAAAGAAGAGAGGAAGAGAAAAAAAAAAAATCATAAGCTGAAGAAAACCAAAAAACTTGGAGGGTGAGATTTCGTCCGTTTCGAATCGATCGGAAAAAGAACTCGACGCGTGTGTCGGCGGTGTTTCCAGTCATGTCGGTATCCAGCGGCTAGCCCCGGCCTCAGGATTCCGCGAAGCGCGAGCTTCAAGTACCTCGAGGGCGCGGGCCTCGTCGAGATGAGCGGTGGCAGCGGCGGGAACAGCGCCGGCAACCAGGGGAACGGCAATGCCACCAGCTATCACCAGCATCAGCAGCAGCAACAGCAACAACAGCAGCAACAGCAGCAGCAGCAGCAGCAGCAACAGACACAGCTGGAGCAAGCTAGCTTGCTGACAGATCTGAACGGTATAGACCTGGCGATGAGCCTATCGCCTAAACAGCACTCGTCCCACGTACAAGCCGCTGGTGGCGCTCACACCACACCGTTTAGCGTCACTGACATTCTCTCACCCATCGATAACGAATCGTTCAGGAAGCTGGAGCAGGTGATCGGCGTCGGCGTGGTCACGCATTCTCAGGTCTCGCCTTACGGAAACGCGTGCGGCGCCCGTGTCGGCGGTAATACCGGTAGCTCGAGCGCGAGCAGCGGCAGTCCACCGCTCCACGGAGGCTCGACGCCCGGTGGCGGAACACCAGGACCGGTTTCCGGTCCGAACGACGCCGCCGGAGGAGGCAGCGCCGCTGCCGGCGCCGGGTCAGGCATGACCGCCATGGGCAATCCTTACGCGACCATGCAACTCACCTCCCAGTATCAGTACTGCGCCGCCGAATTGTCGTATCATCACGCGGGGCCAGCGGTTGCCGGAGGCGCGACCGCCACCGATCCCATGAGGTCCCATCATCCGTGGTACGCGCCCGCTCCGCCGGCCACTAACGATCCCCGCTTCGCCAGTGAGTATTTTTTCTCCTTCTCCTTTCCGTTTTTGTCTCTTCCTTCTTCTTCTTCGTCAAAATCAATTGCGATCTCGCCGCGTTTTCAATTGCATTGAGTTTTAATTTTGATCGTTTCGGATGGAACGTCCGAGTTTGCATATATCTATTATGACATTCGATTAGGCGGAATTTATCTAGGTGTTAAGTGGAGGAAAAAAAATTCATTTGTGTTGTGTTTTTCTTCTGGAATTTCGGATATGAAACGTGTCGAAACGTCGATCAAAAACCGCAACTTATTTCCGGTCAATTTAATAATTCTTTGTACGTATAATCTTTCTTAATCTTTTATAGTCTTTTTTAAAGAGCTTCATAATCTTTATAGCTTCTTTTACGATCAGTTTGGAAGTAGTTTGGATTTAGTTTGTTTTTATGGAGAATGTTAAGTGAAAATTAAATTGTCTGAAAGAAATTTTTTAAGTTCTTTTAAAAAATTTTAAAAAAGCAAAAAGAATTGTAGAAAGTATAAAAAGTAAACGTATCTCGTTTTTCAAGAAAAGAAAAACGGTGGCATATGGGTTGCACACGATCATCCTTTTCGCCATCGACGAGGCACGTCTGTCCCGCTTTTATTAGCCTCGTGTCTACTTTTGTTATTACTAGCTCGCACTTACGTCCATTTAGCCATCGATGAGGTATCGGATTCGTATTTCAAAGTACACAACAGCCTGTTCTTCCATCGCGTCGCTTCGTAACACACGGACTCATGAATTCTTCCGTCGCGTATTCTTCAATGTATCTACACGATTGTAAATTTGATTGAATACCGAAATTAAAAATTTGTTACATAGATAACAATATATAATAATTACTAGTGACCAAATAAACTTTTCGTCTTTAAATCTTTCTAAAAGTTGGATACCAAATTCGTTAGATGCTTAATAGAGATATCTAGAAGAATTTTTATAATAATAAAAATTGATCATTTTTATTACGACGATTATATATATTTGATGACTTGTGAAAAAAGTGTTCTTCTTGTTCCAAATTTATTCCCTCCTTCCACTCTTTCGATAACCTTTGAAAAATAAGTTTCAAAGACAGATTACTTGCACGCAGTTTGCCTAGATCATGTTTTAACTTTCCACTATTCTAAACATTCATTTACTGGATAAATCGAATCTGCATAGAACGACAGGCGCACTCGTAGATAGTCCTCGAGGCTTCTCGCGTTTCAGAGGCCGGTGAAGAAGATTGTCGGCTAACAAAGCTCGTGTCCTTCGGACTTGTGTCAACATACGCTCGTCTCCTTGGATTTCTGTCGGCCGCACGCGCCACTCTGCTAGCCGCTAGAGAACGTATCGATCCTTGGCCCCCCGAAACGCGTGGCTACCGGACACTACCGGAGATTTTAGTTAAACAAATAAGCTTGAACGACCCTCGTCGCGCGAGGGTATCTTAACTCAACGTGCAGAACGTTTTCAAATTCAATTTTTCCCAATTTTTATCCAGAGAATCTGTAAAGAAGAAGATTTAGAATGAGAATGGATTCGAAAAAATAACATAGAATAGGATTTATTTACGAATTACTTTTGAAATTTAATTCTTTGATATCGCGTTTGGTGATAGAATCTGCCATCAGACTTTGTTACTGATAATCAAGAAACAAAATAGGATAGAAAGTTTATTGTCCATTCTCAGAATACAAAAATACTGATAATAGACTGCTATTATAAATTTCTTCTAAGATTTTTTCCTTGTGATCAAGAATTGTTAAAACGTAAAGAAGCATGGACTTCCTCGCATCAACATTTTTATTTTACTCCTTGTCATTAAGCAAGTATGCAAGCTTTGTCCATCTTTGAATCATCTTTGAGATTAAATCTTGTTTATCCTCTGAACAAGTGAACACAAGTAAAGCATAATCAATATAATCAAATCCATTATCTTTAAAAATGCTGTTGTTTCAGATACATCCTATTCGTTTTAAATTTGTTATTGATTTATTTAAACTTGTTAACAATGGAGAATAAGATTTTTGTTTGTCTATCATCTGTCCATGATACCGCATAATTATCCAGTCGATTGATGCGTAGAAAACCGGTCGTTCACGATTCTTTCTAATATGAAATTCGATTTTTAGTATCTACTCCAGGTATAAAACGTCAATTTGCTTAATGATATTCTCACGGAGTGAGTTACGGATCTAACTCCATTCGTTCGCCAGAAGTTTCATTGAAACGTTGATCCAGTCATTCTTCGTCGAGTTTCTATTGTCCTGGCTCTGCCTCGACCTCTCACTGATGATAGTCTCGCAACTTTATCGAGATATATTGTTTCGTACATTACTAGAAACTTAACAATGTCCCATTGTGATGTTTTCAGTTTAATATCTCTCATTTTGAAGAATCTGCTATTGATAATACTCGCAATAATTTTCACCATTTTCTATCCACTCTTTTGAATTTCTAATTTCGAAATCTTAAATCGAGAAAGTTTTACACTCTCGCCTCGTCCAAATCTACGAAATTTTCTCAAGTCTCGGCACATAAACCTGAAAAAAAGAAATTTAGATACAACTTGCACTAAACTAAGCAACATGTTATAATACATGTAACAACTTCCTCGTGTTTTATTAATTATCTCCAAAAATTCCATTTTCCTGAATTTCGATTTTTCCAGAAGAAAGTGGGCGCTAAACAAATTCGTTTTGATATGTCTCAAGTGGTATTTCTTTCTCTTCACTGTCCGACAGGATGAGAATACGTTCTCACAGACATAATAATAATTCGGGACTTCATCGTCGGACCTCCCGTGCTCGATGACGTAGCACTTTGCCGGGATAAATCGCTGCTTTTGTCCCGATCGGACGTGTCCGTTCTTGACAGCCCTTCGCCAACTGACAAGGGATGGACTGCTCGTTGGGTTTCAGTAGCTCGAATTCAGAGGCACGACTCTCTCTCTCTCTCTCTCTCTCTCTCTCTCTCTCTCTCTCTCTCTCTCTCTCCCCTCCTCCCCTTGCTTCTCTCGCGGGCACGCCTCGCGTGTTTCTCCTCTCCTCTTCGCGATCCTCCGCAAATTCCAACCGGATAAATTATCTCTCGGACCGTCCCTCGAGTACATCGAGTATAGACGTAGGAAAGTTGAACGTTCCCCGGTAATTGAACACGCAAGAATGCGCATCGCTATGCCTCTATGGCGGTAGGAGATACGTGTCGAGAAAGTCGTAAGCTGTATGCTGGAAATATTTGGAGAAAGATAAGTGGAAGAAGAGTTTTTTCTTCCAATAGGAAAGTAAAAGTTGGAGAGATATTTTGATTTCTCTTTGAAGAGAGGAAAAGAGAATAGAGTGTTATATATCAGGCCCAAGAATTATGATGAGTTGATATATATATATATATATAATTATTTGTAAATATGTAACGTAGCAAATTTTATTGCCGATTGATATTTCTTCTGAATTATTGTGTTGTAGTCTCGCGGCTAATGGGAGCCGCGGCGGCTGGTGCCGGGACCAACATGGCCGGCTGCTCGGTGGGCCAGTCAATGGGCGACGTGACTAAGTCGTCGGGCATGGGAGTGGGCGTCGGCGTCGGCGTCGGTGTTGGCATGGGCGTCGGCGCGATGCAATTTCCCCACCTTCCGCAGAGGCGAAAGCGTCGCGTTCTGTTCACTCAGCAGCAGGTTCACGAGCTCGAGAGGCGGTTCAAGCAGCAGAAATACCTGAGCGCGCCTGAACGGGAACACCTAGCCGCTCTGATTCACCTTACGCCCACTCAGGTACGTGTCAAATGATTCATCCTCTTGATTAATCTCCTTGTTGTTGATACCCTTGCAGATCCCCCCGGATATTTATTTATCTCGTTACTGAATTTTCGTATGGGCATACTCACCGATTTGTTGAAGAGAATTTCTTGTAGAAATTGTTTTTTCATTATTTCTTGAATTAAAAGGTTAGGCAGAGATGATTTCTAAAGAAAGGACGTTGAAAGTGAATCCTGAATCCTCTTCTCTCTCACAATTAAAAATGGTATATCATGTTTGATCTAAAAAAAAAAAAGAAAAAAGAAAATTCAAATTCTCGTTCTTAAATATCCTAAATATTAAATAAATCGTCATTTTAACACGGCTAATTGGAACGGCAAACGACGCCGTTCTCTCGATCTCTCGATCAACTCGGTCCAACTATTTTTGCTACAGAATACGATGCTTGAAATCGTGCGCGCACGCTTACATCCTCTGCACACGTACACGATGAGGATTAATTTCTGAGAGGAGATTAATTGCAGGGAGCAGGTGGTGGGTGTACGCGTGGGTGTATCTACGTCTCTCGGCCAATCGGATCGATCGACCTCAGGGGCGTTGGTTGCGTCGGAGTTGTTAGCCGGAAATGCCGAGGCGACTGCCGACGAATAGACGTTCGATTACCGAATCAACTTTTAAATGCTTGAAAAATCTTCCATTTTAATATCCAACTGCTAGATCGAACTGTTACTTGATCTCAAAGTTAAAAATACTGAATATATATATAGTGTTATATATATGCTTGAAAAATCTTCGATATTAATATCCAACTTTAGTTAGATCGAACTGTTAGTTGATCTCAGGTTAAAAATGCTAAATATGTATATATATTAATATCCAACTGTTAGATCGAACTGTTAGTTGATCTCAAAGTTAAAAATACTGAATATATATATAGTGTTATATATATGCTTGAAAAATCTTCGATATTAATATCCAACTTTAGTTNTATATATATATATATATATATATATATTAATATCCAACTGTTAGATCGAATTGTTAGTTGATCTCAAGTTAAAAATGCTAAATATATATATATTAATATCCAACTGTTAGATCGAATTGTTAGTCGATCTTAGGTTAAAAATGCTGAATATATATATATGCTTGAAAAATCTTCAATATTAATATTGAATTATTATATATTAATTATTATATAATATTGAATTAATTAATATTAATATTGAAATAATCCAACTGTTAGATCGAACTGTTAGTTAATCTCTTAGGTTAAAAATGTTGAATATATATATATGCTTGAAAAATCTTCCATATTAATATCCAACTGCTAAATCGAACTGTTACTTGATCTCAAAGTTAAAAATACTGAATATATATATAGTGTTATATATATGCTTGAAAAATCTTCGATATTAATATCCACCTTTAGTTAGATCGAACTATTAGTCGATCTTAGGTTAAAAATGCTGAATATATATATATATATATATATATATATCCAACTTTAGTTAGATCGAACTATTAGTCGATCTTAGGTTAAAAATGCTGAATATATATACATATGCTTGAAAAATCTTCGATATTAATATCCAATTGTTAGATCGAACTGTTAGTTGATCTCAGGTTAAAAATGCTGAATATGTATATATATATGCTTGAAAAATTTTCGATATTAATATCCAACTGTTAGATCGAAGTGTTAGTTGATGTCAGGTTAAAAATGCTGAATATATATACAGTGTCATTTTCTTTCTTTCTTCTAATAGTATAATTGCCATTTTGTTTTGCCAGGTATACGAAATATCGTGTTTCATTGGTTATTAATTTTGAGGAAAGCGGATATTGGGTTCAGATTTTTTGATTGACGTTGAAACGTGTTAAAGTTGTACCGTTTAACACGTTCTCGCAACTCTAGTGGTGAAAGTGTTAAGCAAATCGTAGAGGACGATGGCAATGCGTCGAAAATAGTCCTCAAAGAGGTGTGTTTGTTCAAAGCAGGAGAGATGGAATTCGAGCAGGTAGAATCGTCAGTCGAAGAGTGCGTTCCGGCTGGACGACATGTAAATATTGTTTTTGGAACCCGAAATTTTTCCCTTGTTGCCGGCTCTCTATCGGCCATTATTAATAATACGACGTAGCCGTATTTCTTGAAATTCTGTGGAGATAAATTGCTTTAAATTAAAAAATTTATAAATCCTTATACGTTGATAGAATTTATTATTTTAAAATATTTCGTATTATCTATTCCTTCTATTCTAATGCTTCGTACACACGTTAAGTTGTTTTAGACAATTCGAGAGAGAATCGTTTTGGCGGTGATCATTTAAAGCGGTCTGGTCAGAATCAAATTTTAACGAGCAATCTTCATTGGGCAGACAGGTCTGCTCGGCACGATGTGGCAGTCTGGCAACAATAAATAATTGTTGCGCAGCTCATTGGTTGCATCCTGGTCGCTCGTCCCCTCGTTTAGTTTGTCGTTTCGTCTACCGCGCGTCTCTCGGCTCACAAACCGCTCTCTCCATCCATCATACGCGCTCAATTCGATCTACAATTCATAAAGATCATACGACAAACCAATTTATCATTCGTAATTGTTAATATAACATATCTTCGACAACATACCTTTCTTCCTTTTTCTCAAAATATTCTTATCATCATCACTTCTTTCGCATCTCGATTTCCTCTTCAATAATCCTCCAATTCTCCAATCGCTCAGCCAACTTTCTCGATTTCCAAGACGCTGATTAAGAAAAAAGAAAAATTGGTTCGAAAAATTCGGTGGAAAAAGCGTAGAAAGGCGATCTACAATTCGATCTACAATTCATAAAGATCATACAACAAATAAATTTATCATTCGTAAATTTAATTTATCATTAACATACTTCGTTAACATACCTTCGATAAAAGTTAACAAAAGTTGGTCAAATATGAAAAATATCATTCCATTCCAACTACAATTCTTAGAAATTCCCTTCTCTTCATCCCTTTCTTCCTTTTCCTCAAAGTAATCTTATCATCATCGTTACCTTATTATCATCATCATTTCTTTCTCGATTTCCTCTTCAATAACGCCCCCTCCAATTCTCCAATCGATCAGCCAAGACGCTGATTAAAGAAAACCCCGTTGGTTCGAACAAGAATTCGAAACGAACGGTGGAAAAAGCGACAGAAAGGCGACACCACCTAAAATCCAAAACCTTGTGTGTTAAACGGCGAAGGCGGCGAGCTCGAGCTCCGGTTCTCCCTAAACCGGAAGTCGTCGGGATCTCCCTCCACCCTCCCCCTCCCCTCTTACAGTCCGTCACTATATAAGTCTATGCGGAATGGAGCGCGGAAGTCCGCAAAGAGGGCTGATTGCAATCAGCCGCGGATTTTCCCGTGGTTTCGCCAGGGGCGAGGCTCGGTGTTGCGCGCTCGCGCGCGCACAAGTTTCGATAACGAGTTTCAGAGTCGATGGTACTCGGATCTCGCCCGAGCCGTGAATGCCGGCCATGAAGGCCAGCCTCGGAAACGGGACGCGGAAAGAGATATTTGAAGGAGAGATGGCGAAAGATAGATGGATGGATAGAGAGAAAGAGAAAGATGAAATGCGAAGTTGATCGTTTTATATACATATAGATACACACACACATATATATATATATATATATATATATATATATATACGTATGCACACGCATATATGTATATATATATATATGCAGCGGACTCTTGAACTTCTGGGGACAAATAGAGACCAAACGAGCTGCCGGTATATGCATGTGGTATATATATATATGTATGGTGTATGTGTGTATGTGTGCGACCCGCCACCCTGCGGTACCATCCACTTACCGGCCACTCGAAGTCTACGTACGAAGTCGTGCTCTGTAGGTAGCCCACGATGGCTGCACGGGGAGACTAACGAATCATTATGCGAGAGCTGTGTGAATCTTACGTGCCCTCGCGCGGCCACGAAAGCGATATCGCGCGAGGAAAGGTCGGAGGAAGTGGAGCATGGTCGCGTTGCACGAGCGTGGTGGTAAGAAGCATTTTTGCACTGGGCAAAAGATTCCTTTGAATATTATTGGTAATTGCCTATTGTTCCTTCTCGTTCGACTTCTTTTTCTCCTTTTCTCTTCCTCCCTTTGACGAAATGCTCGACGATAATTTTTCGAGAGAAGAAGAATTACGCAGGATCTTTCGTATATCGCTTTTTTTTTTTTTTTGAAGAATCACTCAAACTCGGCTTACGTCCCACTGAAACAAAATTAATAACTCTTTGCACTCCTGTTCGCTCGGTCGAATCTGAAGCAACTTCAGATTCAGATGGCGTTCGGTGCGTTCGGTGGTCTCATAAGATAATTACTCATAAGATAAGGAAGCGATATTCTTAAAAAATCAAACGTAAATAAATATTGTCGTTCAATTACTGCAACAATCCCAGTGGTGACCGAGAGTCACTGTTGGAGAGCAAAGGGTTAACAATATTTTTAATAATTACTTGCTTCTTTTATCAAACGAACAATTTCGTATCAAAATTTCGTGAATTACATCGAGGAGGAAGTTTCACATTACGAGTTTTATTTGTGAAATCCTTTTACCTGCTTCTTTTGGAATCAAACGAACAATTTCGTATCAAAATTTCGTGAATTACATCGAGGAGGAAGTTTCATATCACGAGTTTTATTTGTGAAATCCTTTTTTTCGAGTATACGGATGTTTTGTTAACCGAGAAGCACGAGGAAGAGAAATATAAAAATCCGCGACGGAATGTTGAAAAATGTTGGAAAAAAAGGCTGGAAAGTTCGATCAACTTGAAAATGAATAAATCCATCTTTCGCGAGGCAAGATAATTTTAAAAGCCAAACTCGAACGGCTTTTCAAAGGCAGCGAGGATCCGCGAAAACATTACGGGGTTACGATCGAGGTAATCGAGTTAAATGAGAAAGACAGACGGAGATTTTTCATCGCGAGAAAAGGCTATTGCGGATTCGACGATCCTCGAGGAAAATTCTTTGGGACGTGATCGA